CTTCAAATCATAGATCTATCTTCCATACATACATTCTAGACTAGAAAAACAGGGACCTAACAATTTGCAGGTCTGGTCTGGTCTAGTCTGATCTGGTCTGGTCTGAACTGGTCTGGTCTGGTCTGGTAAGGTCTGGTTTCTTTGTATTTTTATAACTATCCAAGTCTAGTTTGAACTGGTCTGGTCTGGTCTGGGACAAATTACAGTCCAAGTAAAAACATCCTAAATGGCTGGAGTCTCTACACTTGCCTAATGTGGTAGTGGAGTCTTGGTTTTCTAGAATGTTAGAGGAGGGGAGCCGAAATATGGGTCATACTTATGGGCTCCAATTTATTGTTATTCCGGCCCAAGTCAATCTGGCTGCGAGCTTAGTGGCTACTTTGGAACTTAACGGATGCTTCAAGAGAAATTCTATTTAAAGTTACTTATTTTGTGTAATTCCAATTATATCCTTAATAGAATAATCTGCAGCCCATAAACAGATCTTCTTCGTAGTGGGGACTTGGAAGAGGCGCACCATATGCGGGTGGTTCAAAGACTTCTCTACCGGCTTCTTGAAGGTGACGAGGTTAGGAAAAATAGAAAAGGCCAGCATGAGTTCAATAAGCGTAGAATGAAACGTAAGCACAAGCATGTTGCTCCTGATGATAATAAGAAAGAAGAAGAAGAAGCCATTGACAGAGGCTCAAAGGGATTTTGGCTAATCAGAGGAAACACATGGCTCGGCAGCAAGTCGACCGATCTGCTAAAATTGTGAAGACGAAAAGGCCATCCTCAGATACAAACACGGCCCAGATTACAGATACTTACACAAATTTGGAATCATTGAATCAAAATTGTTGCTTATAACAATTAAAAACGAATAAATAAAAACTTTTAATCTAATGCTTTTCATAGAGATAAGGAAAAACAGGAAACATATTTTCTTAAAAAAATTAAAACGTAGCTTTAAGACCGACAAGGTGTTCGTGAATAAAAATCCTCGCTGGATATCATCAAGGAAGAATGGGAGAGAAATCAGTACCAGAAATTTTGCGTTTTAGGATAGATTGGTATGAAACATAAACATGCACTTAACGAATAAATTCATACGAAAACCTACCGATCGGGAGATTTCGCCGCTGAACCGATGGAAGATCTTCGTTACTTTAGGTCTTTCGGTTGTAGATCGACTAACGTGATTCAATAGTAGATGAGATATGTTTATCTAATTAGCCATGAAGAGGCTGGCGGGGTATCCATGGAAGCGGGAATAAAATTGTTGGGAATAACAGGATCGTGCTAATATGAGACAAAAACACTTCCATAACTTTCAAGAATAGAAAGAAGAGACATACAAGCTCTAACTAAAAACTCTCAAAACAATCTCACATATCTCTCAAGGATATTCACAACTCTTCTTGGTTGTGCTATGATGATCTATACTAATTTACTTGATGATAGAAAGACTCTCCAAACTCTCTATTTATAGCACCAAAACTAGGTACTAGGAAGGTGGAAGGTGTGTTGAAGCTAGGAGGAAGTTTCAATGGAGGTGTGAGGAAGGTGGTTCCTTGGTGTGAAGAAACTTCCCTTGTCATTCTTGCATATGGGGGGAAGCTAGGAATTGGATTCTTCAAAAAATTTTGCCGGTGTGGGATTGAGGAAGGTGGCAATAGTAAGAGAACTGATATCACAGAGGGAGTGGCAGGTCGGTATATTTATACGTTGGGTTATTTGTTGGGCCATAGAGTGGGTCAAAATGGACTGAACAAAATTATGCACAATCCCAGAGAATACCAGTTCCTATATCACGATCCCATGGTGAGCACCACGTTCCATTATGCATGAACAGTACACACGTGAATATAAATTGTTTTTTTAAAATTACGTAGTTTTGCACAATTTTTTTTAAAATCGCATGAACAGTACACACGTGAACATTAATTATTTTTTTATTTTTGTCTCAATAGCATGAATGATGTAACTCGCGTGTAAAGATATGTACTCACGTTATTAATTAATGTAACTCAAGTTCAGTCGAAATGTAACTTGTCAAATATATAGTATATGAAATACAACATTGATTTCAATGTAAACAACGAAAAAAAAGTCTAATGCACAATCACTTTACGTAAACCGTGAATATGTTTTGTTTTTTTTTTGTGTCGTGACCTTCAAAAGGATTAAAAAAAACATTTTTTGTTTCAATAGCAAGAGTTGATTTTTATGTAATTCATGTTATTACAAATGTAACTCGTGTTGATGGCAAATGAAACTTAGGTGTATATAAAATGTAACTTGTTGAGTCAAGCCCAAATTGGCGCATAAATGTAACTCGTGTCTCAGAAGATGTAACTCATTTATAAAAAGATGTAATTCACGCATAATTAGATGTAATTGGCGCATAAAAATATGCAACTCACGCATAAGAAGATGTAACTTTGTGTAGTACTCCCTCCGTATCAAATTAATTGACCCACTTTCCTTTTTTGGTGTATCAATTTAATTGACCCATTTCCCTTTTTGGAAAGAATCCCACTCAAAAAGCAGCTACAGTACTGCTACAGTGTCGCTACAGTACCAAAAACCTCTTACTTTTAATAAAGTCTACAGTAATTGTCTTAAACTGCGTGAAAAAGATACGGAGGGAGTATCAATTATAACTTTAGGATTATATAAATGTAACTCACACGTATGAAAATGTAATCGCACGCATGAAAATGTAATCACCTATTCTATCATATGTAAATAGAAATAAACAAACTTAATATCTTAAAAAACACTACACACGTAGTATATTATAAAAAGAAGTAAGTTACAAATAAAAGAAGTGAAGAACCCTGCAAACTTGCATTTACCGATGCTTACAAGTCTAGTTTTCAATTGACATCCAGTGAAAATGTTGACTCAATGGGTGTCGTCATGGCCTCCTCAGCAGACTGTTCCGAAGAATTAGGCATGGTGCTCCCATACTTTCATGGTTTCGTTTCAAATATCGAAAAAAACATCAAATGAAACATACAATGTGTGGAAAATAATCGTATACATGTAGAGACAAAAAATACATGAGGTATATATCAGTCAGCTCCCAAAAATGTAAATACACCCGCATCGTTACCAAAGGAATACAAACTGCCAAAAGATGAATTGCCAAATATGTCCTAAACCATTTTTAAAATTTATTGACAAGTCCACCAGTAGAATAATAAGATTAAAGGGGCACTTCTACAACACATCTTTTAAAAAGTCACTAAATTCCTTTATTTTTGTTTTTATCCCATAGATAAGTCTATCATTAGATCTATAAGAGTAAAGGTACAACTTTTACTATCCTTAGACCTGTAAGAATAAAGGTTCAACTTTTACTGAATAGCTAGAATACATTTTGATCAACTCCATTGAAAAACAATAAGGCGCGCTCCTTTATTCTTTTTCAATGGAATAAACACATTTCAACTCATAACAGAACATTCTTTGTTCCATGTTACCTGTGTAAGTCAGCAGGACAAATCAGAAATATGAATCACTGATTTATCATGACCAAAGGAAGAATTTATTTATAACTTACACTTCACGTATGTCAAGAAATTTGTTTCCAGTTTCCCTCATGTGAAGTTATAATAACAACACTAAATTCGTGATTCAGAGATACTACCTCCAATACGAACTTCCAAATATTCCAATTACAAATTACAGATGTCAAAAGTAGCTTCATTTTCTCTTTAATCTATGACTGAGCTAGTTTACATTGCAGCCTCCACACTTTCACTGGATACAACTTAAATAGAACATTTTAATTTTCACTCACATTGCTTTAGGCAGTACTCTTCTTGCTAAAGAAAATTCATAAATGGACGAGGAAGGAAAGGAAGATCTGTAAAATAAAGTAGATTAGGATTGAAAACTACCTAAGGCTAAAAATGACATAGAAAGAGTGGAATCTCATGCAAACTGCGTGGTGGTGGGGGTAACCGGTGCTTAGAGAACTACCTGGGATGCTCTACAAGAAATAGGACATACCTGAGCTGAAACGACTGGAGTCAGCTTGGTTCGATCAGAGCGCCGTTGAATCGTTGATACCCGTTGTGCCATTCAGAACTGAAAAGAGGGGAGGGGAGGTCCGGTGTGCAAATTCCGGGGTCATCAGACAGACGGGAGCTAAACGGGTGTGCGGAATTACAATGACCTAGGCAAAACGGGAGTACCAAAAGTAAAACATAATGTACCGTCCAGTAAAGCAAATGATTACACCAACACAATTTTCAGCCCTAAAATGCCCTAACCCTCATTGAGGATTATAAGCTTTTAAGATTTAGTCCGATGTTCTAAACATATAATTGTCACCTATTGATGAAGTTTATTTTATCTTTTGGAATTTGACATTCCTTTTAATGTTTCTTTCGCAGTTTCTTTTGCAGTTTTTCTCTAAAATTGAACTAGTCTCCTCATTTAACGATCAAACGTGATGTACTTCAATTTGTTGACTTGCTATTCTTTTGTGTATTTTAAATAAAAAAAAGTGGATATATATTAATATATATGTAAGAGGGAGTTAAGAAATAGGACTTCATATATGCTATATGACCTGGATGTTGTGGATCTATAAGATAGTAAAAATATATGCAGTACATGATAAGAAGTGGTGTTTATAAATTGAATTACACTTTTTAGTAATGATTTCTTTTATAGCGGCAATGTCAATCAAATGCAGAATGCCGGGTTGGTTATCTGTTGTTGTTCCTTTATAACTAGCTTTGATCTTTTCTAAGAAATGCATTAGAAGATTCTTAGGTATGAGAAAAGCCCCCGTATTAATTTGGGATTGATTTGATTTCTGAAGAATTCAATTTCTAGTTTCCATGTAACTTCCTCCATGTGCAAGAATGACAAGGGACCACCTTCCTCACACCTCCATTGAAGCTTCCTCCTAGATTCAACACACCTTCCTTTCACCTTCATACTACCTTGTTTTAGTACTATAAATAGAGAGCTTGGAGAGTCTTTCTATCATCAAGTAAATTAGAATAGATCATCATAGCACAACCAAGAAGAGTTGTGAATATCCTTGAGAGATATGTGAGGTGTTGTTTTGAGAGTTTTTAGTTAGAGCTTGTATGTCTCTTCTTTCTATTCTTGAAAGTAATAGAAGTGTTTTTCTCTCATATTAGCACGATCCCGTTATTCCTAACAAGTGGTATCAGAGCCTGGTTGAGCTTTTGATAATTTTCCCAGATTTTGTCAGACAAAATTCTACTGTCTGAAAAATCAAGTTTTTCAGTATTTCTCGGAATTGCAATCTTAATATATCGTTGGATTCGTCTCATCGTGACGAGAAAACTGGTATGTTTGGGGAATTTTTTGGCCACCAGAAGCTGCCGTACGCGCCGCCAAACGCCGGCGAAAAACTGCCTGCGTCATCACGCGCAGTACGCGCAGTCCAGAGGTAGAAGACGGCTGACGTCATCGATGACATCATCAGCCAGCCAGAGCTGCATCAGCGACACGTCAGCGCCACGAGTGCAGTCCCAGTACAGTCAGCTGCCACGTCACCAGTCCACTGCCATCTTCCACCAGCGCTCAGTCAGCTGCCACGTCAGCGCCACATCACTACCACGTCACCTGCCACGTCACCCGTCAGTTTTTAAATTTTGAAAAATTGCAGTTTGGTCCCTCATTTTTTGAAAAAATATAATTTCGGCCCATAATTTTTCGAAAATTGTATTTTTACCCCGAAAGTGCCTACCCACCATTTTCGGTCGTTCCGGACGCAACAGTGCTGCCCGTTTTTCGAAATTCTTCTCCGATATTTCTCAAACAGAAAATCAAAATTATTTAGAAGGTGAAAATGACCTTTGACGAGTCAACTTCATCTTTCGGAGCTATGATTATGCTCACGGATACCAACTACACGCTCTGGAAACCTCGGATGGAAGATTTCCTTAGCTGTAAAGACCTTTTTGATCCAATAGAGATGAAAGGTATTAATCCTGACCCGGCCAAGTCAACGGAGTGGAAGAAAATTAATAGAAAAACTGTTGTTCAAATCCGACAATGGATTGACCATAGTGTCTTCCACCATGTTGCACAAGAAACCGATGCTTTAAACAGTCCAGTAGTACCCCCGCGAGTCTTTTCTTCCTCCCGTAGCGCTCAACTCACTCTTAAATTCTTTCTCCCTCTTGTTCTATCGTCGGCCAAGGGTTTTAATTAAGATGGTTTATGGCACTGGTTTTTGGATGGACCGAGGTGTTCACCTGTTCATTGTTCAAGTTTCATATTGGTATGGACGGATGAGCTGATTTAAGTGGAAGGGCAAAATAGAATTTCTTATTATTTTGGGGCTGTAAATAGTGATTTGGGGGCTGCAAATAGAATACCCTTAATCGAATGCTATTGTGTATTTGATTGATCCAAATTATTATTTCATCATTTATTTACATTTAAATTATTTTTAATATTTTCTAATTAAACAAATATCATGGGTACTGGGTACCACACAATTTGACTTTGAATTATTGATTGTCACTTTTCAAAGTGGGTGTGAACATAATTGAATGGGAAATTCTAAATACAGCCCCCATTTTTCTAAATACAGCCACCCTACAACTAAGTTTCCAAAATTACCCTTTTAAAATTGAAGTTATTCTGTTTTGAACGATATTCCATAGGAATACAGCCACCGTACATATTCTATTCTCACTTCCATTTTCTTCCATTGTTGGGAAGGGAAGACTGATAATAATAGCTCAAATCTTTACGGCCGTGAATCAATGGCTTCCCCGGTTCAACCTCCGCATCATCCACCACTTCTTCTCCCCTCCAACGTCTCTCCAATCTCAAGGATAGATCACTGATTGCAACAACTCCGTCTGCCGCTAGCATAACTCCCACTCCAACCGCCGCAGCAACTCCGGCGTTACTCTCCCCCTCACCTTCATCACCTTTTGACTCGTTCGCATCCGATCAAATCTTCTCCGCATTCCTATCACCTGATTTTGATTCGGGCCGCTTCTCCTTTGCCGCTCTCTCATCCGGATCCGCCGCATCCCACATTGAGAAGCTCCACGAAGGCCTCTGTCTCCTTGATTTTCAGCTACGTCTGGCTGATTAAATGGACCGATTAATATGATAAATATTTCTATTGGCGGATTGTATTATAATGAGTTATAATAGAAACTAATTCCTAATTACTCTGTAACTTTATATATATATACATGTATGTATGTATAGTTAGAAGCTTCAATATCAGAAGAGAGGAGCAGCCTTCATCTTTATTACATAGTCCGAGGCTGTGCGATATCGTTAGAAGCGTCAATATTAGTGAAGCTTTGCTGCATCTGCATTTCTCATTGGATATGCGAGTGCGTGGCTGTGTAGCTTTGTTTGGTCATGTCACGGGTATGATGGGGAATTAAAAAAAATGTGGGCTGTATTTAGTAAATGGGAGTTTGTAAATAGAATTACCCTAATTGAATTCATCTTAGTGAGACTAAATAGAGGTGTATTGGTCCAGCCCACTCCCCATCCCAAGTAAGCCCATGTGATATGTCTATTCGTTTGGTTGCTCCTTTTCTTCTTCCTTCAACACCATCGGCATGATTTGCAGTTGAGAACACTCTTCAATGGTGGTTGAACATGGAAATTTCAACCTATTGCAAACGAATTGAAGATGGAAATTCCAATTAATACAATTCCAACCTCCTGGAAGCAACTCTTTGATATGCAACCGTGGGTGAAGATACTTAGGTATACAAATAGACAAACTCGCATTAACACTTCATTCATAGAATAATGAATACTCCGTATTTAAATATATGTTGTATCCAGTTTCAGATCGTTGTAATTATCGGTGTCTTTTCGGATTAAAGTGTGATCAAACTTTGATTCCATTTGCTACTGATGGAAAGATATAAAGTTCTATTACCAGTAATGGAAAGAATATCGACCTTAAGAAATGACAGAACTCCCTGCAAAATCGAAGAGGTAATTATAAATCTACGAAAAGCTCGTAATAATTATGAGAGTATATTGTGCAAGCTGAGAATCTTGTTCTTTCTATGAGACCATATATACACTAATAATTTAATATAAATAAACTTATTATTTTATTACCTTAATCTCAGGGTCTGTACTTAGGATCTTTTGGAGCTGCTGGAAACAAGAGCGAACTAAAAAGCTTGAATATCGCACATACATTGACGGTTTCAAATTCACTATCCTCTCTATATCCAAATGATTTTGCGTATAAGACCATTAGTGGTATTACATTTTCTCTTTAATCCGTTTCTTTTTCAAAACCAGCAATTCCCATTCTCTTATCTGGAAAACAATGGTCATTAAGACTGAGAAAAAATCACAATAGATAAGCTCTCTTAAAGTATAGAAATAGTAATCTACTTTTAGGGTATGTTTGGTTCACGGAATGTCAGATTACCATGGGAATGTCAGATTACTGGGTATGTTAGATTGATGGGAATGTGATTAATATGTAACTCATTTGTGTTTGGTTATGATTAAGGGAATGATACATTAAGTTGTTTGGTTGGATGATATCTTATATTGCATATTTGGTGTATTACTTAAATGCCCTTTAAATATTTGTCTCTTAACACATTAAACTTATTAAACCTATAATTAAACTAATTAAAATTATAGAAAAATAAAACATCGTAATAATAATTAAAATAAAAAATAATTGGATTAATTTTAAGCTAAGTATGTTTAGAGCCCGTTTGGTAGTAGCCAAATCGGCTGTATTGGCTGATTCTGCTGAAATTTATTAAGTTCTGGCTGATGTGGCTGTATTGGCTGATTCCGCTGATTTGTGAAAAATAATAATTTAAAATAAATTTTATTAAATAAACAGCTAAAATTATATGAAAAAATAGCTAAAATGACCCTCTACAGTAACTTCAGCCAATAAAGCCAGAAAAGTAACTTCAACCATACTTTTTCTTATTATTACATAATTCAGGCCGTAAAACCAAAAGTTACGTGTTTGGTGAAAAAGTTGACTTATAAGCCTGAATAGCCAAAATTCATAGCTACCAAACGGGCACTTAATTACATAAATTGCTAAGATTAGTGAACTTTAGTAAATAATTTTACTAATGTTACCACGTCGGTTATTTTTTTTAATTGCATAAATGGCGAGGAAAGTAGTGACATAATAGGTAATCTCATATTACGTCAGTTTGTTAACCCACGTAATAGTTAAGTTACCACGTCGGTTATTTGGTAAAACTGACGTACGAAGTAATCGTTTTTTGTAATAACGAAGACCTACCACGTCACTTTTCTAGTAAACCGACATAAAAGCTATCTTTAATAACAAAAAAAAATGCATTGAGAATACATAGCCCACGAGACAATATGATTCAAGTTACTTATTTGCAAGGCCATATTAATTATTAGAATGTATGTCTTTTACAATAGAAAGAGGATGATGATGATGATGATCATAATAATTATAATTATAATAATAATAATAATAGTAATAATAATAATAATAATAATAAAGAAAAACCATCTGTAAACTATGCACAACAGAATTAGCTTATCAATTGCAATTTACGAATAGTCAACATTCTGGTAAGAGGTAACATCTAATAACCAATTGGCCTGCTGCATCAAAAGAGAGCTGCGTATAATGGACCATGGGTTTTTTTTGGAAGAAATTGATTAAGCAATCAGGAATCTAAGAAAACCTAAAGGTTCAATGGGTATCAGATAGCCGGTCATGTGATTCCCTTTTTCAGTTTTGGGAATGTAACATTCCCAAAAAAAAAACCAAACCCGCGAACCAAACACAGATATCTCACATTCCAGACATCAGATTCCGACATGTATCTTATATTACCTTCAACCAAACACTGCCTTAGTATTATTATAGTTTCTCTTTTCCGTGTAGGTTTAAGGTTTAGATATCCTATTCCTACAAGGGTTGAGGTTCATTATTCAAGTTAAAAGACATACCAATACAAATTGCAGTTTCTTATTCAACTCGCTCCTTTAATTTGTTAACATATATTAAAATGTATAACAGTATCAGATAAAGGAGATGTTGACATAGCACAATATTTTGAGGAGTGTTTTGAATTCATTGAAGAAGGGAAGAGGAGTGGCGGTGTATTGGTTCATTGCTTTCTGGGAAGGTCCCGAAGGTAATCTTTCTCAGACTTATACATCTTATATTTCAAGCCTTATTAGCTTGACCTTTTAGAAGTGAACTTTAAATTTTAGTAAAATTTCATTATCAAGTTATGTAACTGAGATAATACCATTGTTTTTGACAGTGTAACTATAGTGTTGGCTTATCTGATGAAAAGGCATGGTATGAGCTTAGCACTAGCTTTGGAACATGTGAGAAAGGGAAGGAAAGAAGCATGGCCTAACTCTGGTTTTATGGCACAGCTGAAGGACTTGGAGAAAACTCTTCGAGGTGACATGATTTTTCAGAATATGTTATATAATTCTTACTTGAGTATGTAACTACCTTTGCAGTATGAATGTGGATAAAAAAGTACATTATGCCTTCATCCACATCATTTGCATGGAGATGAGGGTACGAGTTTACGACACTGTTACACAAAGTAGTTGAAAAACCAAAGTTTTGGAGTGTGAATACTGAATATTTAACATGCCATTCATATCATTAACTTACTGAAAGAATTCATTACTGATATTTGTCATGTCACTTGCATGATGATACATAGGGACTTCAAATCTACAAGGCTGAAAGAATTCATTAACTGTAGTAATCACTAATCACAGGACCAGGTAATATATTCTAAATTGTTCCTTTTATCACTTGCATGTGAGAACCTTTCTTTCATCATTTTTACTTGAAAATGATTCGGAAAATTTGAAAGTCCCATATTTATGTATATTAAATTAAAAATACTCTTTATTTTTCTTCTTTCTTTTCTCTTCTCCATGTAAGCATTGTAGATTGATATACCAGTCTTAATCTGAAGGAACATTCTTTCATGAACTCAAATTTCTCCAAACAAAACCTTAATGGATTATTATATTTTCATTTTATTGCCAAAGCACATGTCAACTATCTAGAGCATGAGAGTTTCATCAGCCCATTTCATCACTCAATTCTACATGCTCAAGGGGGATGTAGGAGTTGATATTATGATGTAAAGTTGGAAGTCTAGCATTATAATGTACTATATGGTGTACGAGCTGTATTTTGGATGATTTGTCCATGGTGTCAATGAGCCCATACAGTACTGTATGGTGTAGGAGTTGATATTATGATGTAAAGTTGGAAGTCTAGCATTATAATGTACTATATGGTGTACGAGCTGTATTTTGGATGATTTGTCCTTTGATCTGATTAATGATAATTGATCTGATTTCTTCTTCAAAAAAAAAATGTAGGGGATCTTATTAGTGTAGTTATATGTCTTTCTCCAGAATGTCTATTTAAACTTTTTCAAACCATGAGGGGTTCTTTCAGAAGAAAAAAAACATGGCGGATAATGTCGGTTTTAAAAAGGTACCAAAACATTGTCGAGACAGCAAAAAGTAGGTAGTGCTACAATAAATATTACGAGTACCAATACTCATAGTCCTGTACTTTTTTCCTTGTCCCATTTATGTGTCTTGTTTTATTTTACTGTTTCAAAATGATGTCCTATTTCCCTTTTTAGAAAGAATGAAATACGGAGTACTACTTATATAGTTATATGATTCATTTCATTTTACTATCCAAATTCCAAATTTTAAGTACTGTACAACTTTTACTTTTCAATGATTTTGTTAATAATTGTGTCAAGTTAAAAGAAGACATATAAAATGGAATATACTCTCTCCGTCCCCTTTTAAATGTCTCATTTTACCATATTGGGATGTCCCTATTTAATTGTCACATACCTTATTTGGTAAAGTTTGTGTGGCTCAAAATCATTCTTATTTTATTCTTACTTTATTCCTACTTTATCAATAAATATCAACCACACAAACCCATTTTAAAACTCGTGCTACCCTCTTCCGGGATATTTAAAAGGGGACGGAGGGAGTAGGTGGTAAGTACTTAGTAACATCAAGGATTCAAGACAAATATGAATATGATACTTTTTCTGCAGATTGCTTATCACATTTTTATTTCATGAATTATTAAGTGGTACTGTGTTGTTTATTTAGCATCAGGTTCCTGAGGAATGCTTATTATGAATTCTTATATAGACAATTTTCACCTGGAGAGCATTATATGCGGAGGGCATTTGAAACTACAGTGTGGAGTTGTAGATAGTACTCAATCTTTTATCATATCCAAAATATAGCTTGAGAAATGCTATGTGTACACAGCACTTCTACACACCACTACACATCATAAAAAGCCCACCCCCCTCCCTTTTCTAACCCATTTAACCCCCACCCCTAATTTGAATCCTGCCACGTGCGCCTCCCACCCTTTCCCATGCGTGCGCCCCCTTTCTTCTCTTTCCCGCATCCCACTCTCCATTTCGCTCCCCCCTTTCTCTTCCACCTCTTCTTCTTCCCGCATCCCACAACGCTCCTCCTCTCTACGCTACCAAAGTCCGTAGCTACTTCTACCCTCGCTCCGGCGTCTCCGAGGAACGGCTTCACCCCACTCTTCTCCCTCCATCGACAGAACCACGGCACTCCCCCTCTCTACCCTACCGAAATCCGTCGCTACTTCCACCCTCGTTCCGGCGTCTCCGAGCATCTGCGAAAGTGAGGCGGTCCACTTGAGGAAATGGTTCGCAGTTCCCTGACGGAAATGGCTCAAAGGTATTTTTTTTCTCACCTTGTTTTGAGTTAATTTCTCACTTAATTTTTCCCTTATTTTTTTTGGAGGCTAGCACTTGCATTGTTGAGTTTATGTTTGTTCTTGGTTGTTTTTCGGTGGACTATTGACACGCATGAATTATTTTGAAGTTTATTTTTTAATCTTGGTATTATGTGCTTGATTTGGACCATTTTGTAGTGTATATTGTGTTTTTTTTGGAGTAAAACCGTATTTTCTCATGTTTTGATTTTGACCATGTTTGGAGTTAGCTCTTTATTCCATTTTTTCAGATGTTACTTGTTCAGTGTGTTCATATTTTTGCGTTTTTCAGATGTCTGTGCAGTGTGTTCTTAAATGTTGTTGTCATTTGTAAGATGTCTGTGTAGTGTGGTCTTACACGCTTGCCCATATGACAGTTGTCTTTATGGTTCTCTAGAGTTGTCTGTGTATTGTGTTCTTCAATGTTGTTGTCATTTGTGAGATGTCTGTGTAGTGTGTGGTCTTACACGCTTGCGCATATGCCAGTTGTCTTTATGGTTCTCTAGAGTTGTCTGTGTAGTGTGCTCTTCAATGTTGTTGTCATTTGTGAGATGTCTGTGTAGTGTGGTCTTACACGCTTGCGCATATGACAGTTGTCTTTATGGTTCTCTAGAGTTGTCTGTGTAGTGTGTTCTTCAATGTTGTTGTCATTTGTTAGATGTCTGTGTAGTGTGTGGTCTTACACGCTTGCGCATATGCCATTTGTCTTTATGGTTCTCTAGAGTTGTCTGTGTAGTGTGCTCTTCAATGTTGTTGTCATTTGTGAGATGTCTGTGTAGTGTGTAGTCTTACTCGTTTGCGCATAAGACAGTTGTCTTTATGGTTCTCTAGAGTTGTCTGTGTTGTGTGTTCTTAAATGTTGTTGTCATTTTTGAGATGTCTGAGTAGTGTATGTCCTATTCACTTGTCTGTACACGAATTTAGAGTTGCCTGCATGCCATTGTTGAATTGTCTAGTGTGTTCTTTTACTTTAAAGGTGTCTGTGTAGGCTTGTCTGTGTAGTGTGTTTGTGTGGTAGTAAGATGTTTGTCTCATTAATGTTTTCCTTTGTTTTCCTGAGCTGTCTGTGCCCATGATTTTTGTGTGTACATAAGATGTCTAAGTGTTTAACAAATGTCTGTGTTATTATTTTCAGGATGGAATTGAAAATTCCTCTTAAAGATTACTTCCCTGCCCAGTATTCTGTAAGGTCCGCATTCCCTGAAGCACTGGAACTATTGAGCGAATGCTTGACGCTGAAACAAATGACTATGCTTATTAAAACTCCATGGGGCCATTTGCCCGATGCTCCACCTATGCAATTTTCTGCCCAACTCATTCATTTGTTGCTATTACGCCTTGTGCGTGACCAGCCGGAAGATGAGTTATGGTTTGCAGTGGATGGCAAGTTGCTGAAGTTCACATACCAGGACTTCAAGAGGATTACTGGCATACATGATCCGATGGAGTGGCCTACGTATGATCTTGATGAAGAACGGTTGGGGGTGGTAGATAAATATTTTGGGGACTGCGATCATGTATCCTATATCAAGTTGAAGGAGAAACTTGAAGAACTGAGCACTACTCGGAAGGATGAGAATGAGGATGTTATGGATCGCGTGAAGTTAGGTTCTCTGTTTTTGGTTCATTGCTGCCTTCTTGCTCGAGACTACCCAACACTGATACATCCCGATTACTTACGTTTAGTGGATGACTTCGAGCTGTTTAAGTCTTGCCCATGGTCCTTCCAGTCGTACAAAGAGACGGTGAAGAGTTTAAAGAAGACTATGAAAGGGCAACCCCAAAAGTTTCAAGCGAGCAAAAATGCAAATCCGAGATTTCGCAACGCAAAGTTCACCTTGTACGGGTTCCCGTTTGCTTTACAGGTAAACCATCTATATGAAATTTACTTTTTACATTAACTGTCTGTATAAATTAATAAGTTGTTTGTATACATTAATCATTTGTTTGTGTGACACTCATCAACCCATGTAGGTTTGGGCATATGAGGAACTTCCTGTCCTTGCACAAAAGTTTGCCACACCTGTTGTTCCTACAAAACACATTCCTATGCTCAAGTGGACTGCGGATGGGTTTTACCATGCCCACAATCTACAAAAAATTGTCTTTAAAGACATTGTTGAGGTAATTGATTCGCTTATTGTGTTAAAGACATTGTAATTAAACGGGACACAAACATTTTTCTGTTTATTTATTTATTTATTTATGTATTTATTTATTTATTTATTTATTTATTTATTTATTTATTTATTTATTTATTTATTTATTTATTTATTTATTTATTTATTTATTTATTTATTTATTTATTTATTTATTTATTTATTTATTTATTTATTTATTTATTTATTTATTTATCTATCTCAATGTTGATGTTGTAGGAGGAGGAGAATGAGGGAGATGTTGAGGAAAGCACTGACGATGTTCCAAATAATGAACTGACTTTATTGCGTGCACGAATTGAAGAACTTGAAAGGAGGCTCAAAGCAACTGAAAAAAATGTTGCTGAAATTAAAGACTTGGAAGACACTGAAGATGAAGAAGACGATTCTGATGAAAGCTATGTCGAATCCGATGAGGTCAATGTCTGCACCTTTATTAAATTGTCTGTTATTGTATTTACAGTTGTCTGTATGGATTTTTTTTTTGCACTTCGAAATGTTAATGCGTTCTTTTTCAATCCTATTTTAGGAATCTGAGGAATCTGATGAGGTAGAGGAATCCGATGAGGCTGATACTGAGGAATCCGATGAGGAATCCGATGAGCCTGATAATACAGATGAGACTGAGCAACAAGAGGTGAGGAGTGAAGACATGGAAGTGCCTGGTGTTGTAGATATTGGTGATGATGATGTAGAGGTCAATGTTTGTACTTTTACCTTAAATGTCTGTTGTTCAGTGAACATGTCTGTATTTCTATGATATTGTCTGAATCTGTCTGTATTTGTCTCATTTTGCAGGGTGTTGAGAATGTCGCGAATGGCGCGCCTGAGATGTCTGTCATTACTGAAGCTGGTGTCGAGGTAAATGTCTGTGCTTCTACCATAAATGTGTGTTCTTCATTGAATCGGTCTGTATTTGTCTGAATCTGTCTGTATCACTTTGTAGGCTGTTGAGAATGAAGCGAATACCGTGCCTGTTGTTGTAGAACTTGGTGATGCTGGTCAAGAGCTCAATGTCTGTACTTTGACCTTAAATGTTATTTTTCACTGCATCTGTCTGTATTTGTATCATATTGTCTGAATCTGTCTGTTTTTGTCTGTCTCATTTTCTAGGCTGTTGAGAATGAAGTGAATGATGTGCATGTTGTTGTAGAACTTGGTGATGATGGTGAAGAGGTCAATGTCTGTACCTTTACCTTAAATGTTTTTTTTTCACTGCATCTGTGTGTATTTGTATCATATTATCTAAATCTGTCTGTTTTTTGTCTCAATTTGTAGGATGTTGGAATTGGTAAGGCTGTACATGAGGACCTTAGAGATGAGGTACCTCCCCAAGGCGAGGACACACATGGGGACACCAAAATGGTTGTCGTTGAACATGGTCTATTTACTGATGTAAATTTCTAACCATTAGACAACATGTAATGTTGTAGAATGTACCATTGTAGTGGTGCGGGTGCGGGAGATAAATCAATCTAAGTTCAAACGATTTTTAAAACACCATTTTAAACACTTTTTCGGTGTTTCATTTATGTTGGCTGATTATGGAAACAGATTTGTGAGATAGCATGTAATCGTCTGCTGTAAATTTCTTTTTTTTTTTAATTTTGTAGGCTGTACAGGATGAGGTTGGAGATATGATCGCTGAACCTGAAATGGTAATCGTCTGCTTTTTGTATTAGGTTGTCTGTAATGTATGATAGTGGTGGTAAATTGTCTGTTCGAAATATGGGTTAGGCTGTTGTAGCGGAGAAAGATTATGTGATCACAACCGAAGTGGTTGAGGACCTGAATGCGAAGCAAGGCCGGCCTGTAGCAACACTGGCAGCCGATATGGTAAATGTCTGTATGGTAGGTGTTTTGCCACAATGACATTATAATGTAGCTTTTGTGAAACATATTGTAGGTGTGTGATGGTGAACCATCGGAACAATTTGTCTTTCAGGCTACTGAGGTGGATAGAGAGGATCCAACAAGCGAAAAAGGAAATGGGGAAGAAGAAAATGTAGCCTGTGGGCATGGTCTTTTTTACGATGTAAACTTCTAACCATTAGACACAATTTAGGTCAATGTTTAGGATTTCGGTAATGAGTGGTTTGAGACAGCCTATATAATTATGTTCAGAAACAATTTTATAACACCTATTTGAACTCCATTTTAAAAAGATATTTATGTTGAGTTATGTTACGAACAGATACGTCAAAGTCCAGACATTGTGATCAAAAATGTGATGAATGACGTAAGTGTGGTGACAGAGTAAATACTCCCTATTTAAAGGTTTCCAGTCACAGTTTATGTGATTTCTTTTACAATGTTTATGTAAAATTTAAAGTTGATGTTGATGAAAGAAGAACACGGTCTCTTTGAAGAGTGTCATACCCCTCCAGAATTGATGTTGTTCACCAAAGAGGTGCACTTACTCTAATTACTTTGGTTTTCATTTCACTTGTATTTACTTCGTGATTTTAACTTGTGAGGCCAATTGTCTGTGTGCCATTGTCTGCGTACTTTGTATACAGACAATATGTGAGCACTTTGTATTGTCTGCGTTTACTCAGTCTTTTTACAATGTCATAACTTGAGGCTTGTATGGGTGTGTAGTTTACCGGTGAGACCTTTAGTGAACTAGCATTTCTAAATATGGATTGGGACGACGTTGATGTTAACGATCCAGTAGCTCAGAATGATCCATTGGATGAGGACTTAACCCGACTTGAAATGGGTAGATATGAATACTTCACCAACCCTCAACCATTAGATAATGATGAAGTTGAGTGGAATAAGTTGAAGGAATGGATTGATGAAGCAGAAAATATTTACCCGACACATGTACATCTTGTTGTACCCGGTTTACCAGATGTTGAAAGGAAATTTTTCCATGACCTTCTAACGGTTGATAAGTGGTTGGCGAGTTACGTAAGTTTTTATCTACAATCTTATCTTCCACATAATTGTTACTTCAGTTACATGCCCTTTATTAATTTGAGAACTACTTATTTGTTGTAGCATATTGATGCTATTATATACTTGCTCAATAAGGAGACCACACGGCCGAAGTGTGCATTAAAGGGTCCTTATTTTATGGTATATGAGAGTCTAAAATGTTATTATTGTCTGTTTTATTCCCATAAATTAATGCTCGGTTTCCCAATTTTGTAGCAACAACTGTTGAATAAACAAATTCATAATGAGGCGCATTGGGAAGGAGATCGCCATCTTATACAAACGAATTGGACTGCACTTGATACGGTAAATGTCTGTACAGACGTATTGGTGTAGTAAATGTCTGCATACAAACATGTAATATCTGATTTTGGAAATGTTTTAGGTTTTCACACCATACAATGTGGAGGATAAACATTGGGTGTTGGTGGAAATAGACCTTCGCCGTAAATGCGTAAGAGTGTATGACTCCTTGAAAAGTGGAAGGACCGTATCATGCATTTCAAAATTCATGCAACGCCTCCCCCACCTACTACGGGTAATAACATGGAAAAGAGAAGGGGACATGGGAGACGACCTCCACCCGTGGCAAGCTGTTGCCGTCGATGCTGTCCCTCAACAACGGGGAGGGTAAAAAACACCCATTCATCCCATTTTTTTCCCTTATGTGACTATAGCATCTAATACATATTGTTTGTGTTATGTGTAGTGGAGATTGTGGAATTATGGTGTTGAGTTTTGCACAACACCTCATGTTGGACATCCCATTCATACCTGGGTGTGAGTACGCCAATATGCCGAATAAGAGACGTGAATTTGCTAAAGGACTATGGAAATTGAAAGAAGACCAAGCATAAGACGCGACGATGAACAATTATGTTCAATGACGTATATATTTTTTGTATATGTAATTATTAGAAATACATTGGGGGTTACATGTAGTATTTTGTACAATAATGGCCGCGCCATGTTGTACAATAATGCTACAATGTCTTTTCCATATATTTGTTGTCTGTGGCGAAGCTACAAGAATGTCTGTATTTTTGCGGTTGTCTGTGTAGGTTGTAGTACACACTAAGATGCATTTTGTTTGACCCCATTAACTGTCTGTGTAGGCCGTATTTTTTTGGTTGTAATTTTTGAATGTAGTACTTTGGAAAGCAATTCATGCAACATTGTATAAAAGTTTGTATGAAGACCTATGGTATTGTTTGTATTTTGTATACACATATATAGTAGAGTATGTGTCTGTATTTGTGGATATATTGTCTGTGTAAGACGTTTGCAACAAATAAGTTTTATAAATGTAATGTTGACTACACCACACAAAAAAACATAACATTCTAATGTATTTCAAATAAGTACTTAAAAAGTGCCATATGTCTCAAAACAAAGTCAGATTTAAATCTAAACTGTCTTGATATTGTAGTGTCATACTATTGTTGACTGCACCATAATCATATTGACCATGGTACCCCTCTCCAACGAAGCCCTCTCCAGTGTACGGCTGTCCCGTGAACCCCTCTCCACCGTAGCCTTCTCCAGTGTACGGCTGTCCCGCGAACCCCTGTCCAGCGTACTCCTGTCGAGCATTGTCCATTGTGCTTCGTTTCTTGTGCGTATTTGGCTGGAAAACAAATATAAATCATAGGTACGATATTCATGTCTGTGCGTATATGTACAATGTCTGTACATGCATATATATTGTCTGTATAATAACAATTATAGTGCAGGGCACCATACCTTTGACTTGGATTTCCCCTTTTCCAGCGGCCCCTTCAAACGATTTTTCTTGGGAGCGCCTTTGCGTTTTGCTGACTTTGGATCCTTAATTTGTTGTGGTACTTCCGCATGCACACCACTATCCGGTACCGGTAACGGTGTCAACACACCACATATAGAGGAATGATATGGAGGAGCGGGTTTATGTAGTTCCAATTGCCGTTCCAGCCACATCATAACGCTCTTGCATTTTTCCGGATCATCGGCAATGGTGTTTGCAAGGGTCTCAAATGTCGTACACAACCTATCAAACCTTTCTTGTTCCACCGTAGTTATCCACCCGTCGTAATTGATCTTCACTCGGGTGTAAGCTCTTTTGATGTCTCGCCGCCACCTTGGTAGTATGTAACAATCAGGCAACACTTTGACATTATATCTTAGTGCCACCATAAGAAAATGTCTACACAAAATGCCTCGAAACTCGAACAAGTGGCAACTACACATTCCTTTAGATGTAGAAACATCATACTCAACAATGAAGGTCCAACTCTTATCAAACCCATTGATGACACGATTCTCTTTCACTTCATATGTCTTACCATCCATCATTGGTATGACATAACAATACAATTGATCAAGTAATTGGGTTCGAAATTCTTTGAACTTGGCTATGGTGTAAACACGTTGCACTTGTTTTTCAATTGCAAACGACGTAACACATGGAATCATTTTAGTAAAAGAAAGGCCATCGGCTTGAAATTCGTTTTCAATCTTCTTTCTCATAGCGCGCCCATATTGATCCACGAACTGTTTTAGACTAGTTTTAGAATGAACATACTCACCAAAGAAGGCGTTAACACTTTCACTTCGTTGAGTGGTTGACATACCTGCCCAAAAATACGGTTTCAAGTAACACGGGACCCAACGATGACGTTCGTTGTACATCACACCCAGCCACTCATCGTGGTGAAGAGAAAACCTTAAAACAAAGACAATAGTGAGATATACAGAATATAAATGTCTGTGCAGAGTAAAAATTACAATATTCTACAGACGATATACTACATATACAGACAATACATAAATTACTATGAAACTCTTCACATGGTGAAGAGAAAACCTAAAAAACACAGACAATAGTGACACCTACACAATAATAAATGTCTGTAAAGGGTAAACATAATAATAATATACAAACGATATACGTAATATACAGACAATACAAACAACATATGATCTGCCACCACCATAATTTAGTATGAAATTGACATGCTGAAGATCATACCTATGGAGCATAGCTTGCCAGCCTGCCTCAAACTCAGTATCATGTTGTGAATCATAAACTAGGTCGTGAATGTTGAACATTATTTTGTCTTTGTCCGCAAACCCACCCATTTTTTCAGGTAGCTTCCTCATGATATGCCACAAGCACCAACGGTGCCTCGTTTCTGGGAATACAATTTGAATTGCATTTTGCATAGCCCGGTCTTGATCGGTTATAATTGCATTTGGAGCACAACCCTCCATGCAATCAAGCCAAGCTTTAAAGAGCCAAACAAAAGTTTGTGTATCTTCATTTGAGATTAAGCCACATCCAAATAATATAGTTTCACCATGATGATTCACACCCACAAATGGTGCAAATGGCATGTCATATCGATTAGTTAGATAGGTTGTGTCAAAGGTGATGACATCTCCAAAACTTTTGTATGCATATCTACTTCTATTATCCGCCCAAAACACATTTCTCAAGCGTGAGTCATCATCTAAATCAACACTAAAGAAGAAACCGGGACATTGTGCTTGCATTTTTGAAAAAAAAGCTTGTATAGCCATGGCATCACCACTTCCTAGCCTAAGTTCCCTAATTTTTCCAATATAATTCCTACAATCCTTTTCTATAAAAGGTAGGGCATCATACCCCCCCCGCTTCAACAACAACGGAGTTAAAGCTCTTGTTAAGTGGAATTCCCGCAACTTCATTAATGGCAAGATGTCTCATCGCTTTTGATGTCAACTTCCTATTGCAACGAAATAGTCTAGCTTTTGTGGGACTCATGGGGTGATTATGTTCTAAAAACACTTGTGAAATTTCCCATAACCCAGCATAAGTACTGCGTGCTCTAATTCTTGCCGTACAAGATGTTTGCATTGAAGGTTGAGGTTTCAAACAATTTAGTGTCTTGCTACCTCTACTTCCCGCCCGTGAACACTTTATCACTATTGACACCACAACACCCTTGGATCTATCCTTAGTAGATGTTCTTTTTCTAACCGGGAATCCTACAGTCCTACCATATTTTTTGTAAAACTCATACACCGCGTCTGTGCTTTCAAACTTCATGCCCACTACCGGAGCAACCACACTAACATCTTCTTGCTCTTCTTCCTGTGCATATGCATCTGTGAATTCATACACAGACTATTGAATATGTATAAACAGACAAATTTATATAAATGCAGACATTATGTATCAATTCTATACAGACAAATGAATACACACACTAATTTATGATCAAACATATGAATATATGAATAAAATAGTAAAAAATGCAGACAGTAGGAAATGAAATACAAACAAGTTTAAATAATAATCAAACAAATTAGAACATAGGAATAA